AAGGAAGGAAGGAAGGAAGGAAGGAAGGAAGGAAGGAAGGAAGGAAGGAAGGAAGGAAGGAAGGAAGAAGGAAGGAAAACTTGTGTTCCCCAACAAGCTGTTGTCTGACCCCTCACTTGGAGATCCATCAGCTGCCGAGCCTCTGACCTTCACCTCTTTTTGCTCATGTCCATCATAAGGGACCATTGCAGATCAGTTCAATTTCACTCCACATTAGATTTCAGTATTTATTTATGTATCTTTCAAATCCCATATTAGGAAGACTAGGCTCATGTTCAAAATATAAAAAAATAAAATAAAATATGGTATGGATAGCTATGTCTTGCAAAGAGCAAGATTAAAAGTCCCCTGTAGAAACTTAACCATTTTCAATGAAAATATCTATTGAGAGTAAACCATGAGGCAAAATATGGACAAATTAAATCATGCTAATACTAAGGACTTGGGAGCATACGTCAAACATCACAAGGAGCATACAAGTGAAGCTACAGCCTTAAAGAATAAATTTGAGACTCAGTCACAGTAGAGCATGCCTATAATACCAAAGCTTTGGAAAACTTCAGAAAGGATGATTCCATTTTCAATACCAGCTTGAGCAATTTAGCAAACCAGCAAGAAACTTACTCAAAATTTAAAAACAGAATCAAAAGGGGGTCAGGGTCTAGCTTACTGAAAATCCCTGAGTCCAGTTTCACAAATGTCACTAAAAGCAATAAAATTTAATATGTATTTAAAATACAAAACATTCCAAATGTGTCTATAATTACTTTTAATTTTATTATTTCATTTTGAAAAGCAAAAGACGAAAGCAAGAACAAAAATCAGAAACAATGACAGAAACAGGGTAATATACAACAATACATATGTTACAGATTTTCAGAACAAGAATAGCTGATTAACAATGGTTGGTATATTATCTATTTTTACAAGCAGTAATATGCAATCATGTATCCAATCTTACACAACTATATCTGTTAATTTGAGCAACAGATTTGATGCCTATAATTATGAATTAATAAAAGATGAGAATTTCAATACACATAATAAAAAATATGTCTCAAAAGAAAAGCTGCAGAGTACAAAATATCTAAATTAGAAAAGCAATATTTTATGTCCTTTATGTCATCAGGATAAAAAAATTGGGAGGGGGCGGCTGATATGGATACTCAGGAGTATATAACAGAAAGTGAAGCAAGTTAATCTTTAAACTCTTGACAGGAAAAGAACCTGCTCTGCTATAGTCAGAAATTTCATTCCAAGTATAGTGTTTTTCTTTTCATTTTTAGACAATGAAATCCAGCAAACATGCATGCTATGAGGGTGTACCACGACCTACATATGTCCCAACCTCTCTCCAACATTTTTTCTTGGTATATTTTGGAAGTACCTAATGATTACACTTATCATGGTGAATCACTACACATATATCCTCTGTCCTTCCCACTCTTCATCTTCCTCCTATTAGCTTAAACTCTATTTTCCTCTCTCCCTCTCTCCCACCCCTCCCTCCCTCCCTGTCCCTACTCTCTCTCCCTCCCCCTCCCCCTCTCTC